GCCCGCAGGTCGCCCCCTCACCTCCGCCCGGCAGCCACCGCTCCCCCACCCCACCCCACCCCTCCCGGGGGAGACTTTGCTTAGGAAAGCAGCGCTTAGCCCCACCCAGTGCTCAGCGCCCCTTCCAGCTCGGCCACCACGCGCCACCACGCGGAGCTGGCAACTTTCTGTTCCCCCACGGCTTCCCCGGGTCCCTGACCTGCGGCTGCTGCGCAAGCAAAACTCTCTGCACCTGGTGGGGCACCCGCGGCGCCTCCTGGTCTGGACTGCCCCTGCCCCACCCACGATCCCGGCCCTCCTCCCTTCCTCTGCAGTCACTGCCGGCAGCTGGCCACACCACAGACTGGCCTCAGGCTTCTAGGGTGTTAGGCTGTGACCCCTTAGTCCTTACATTCTTGGAGTTCAGTTAACTTTCTGGGAGTGAAGGGAAGACCCGGTCCTGCTGGCTGTGGGCCCCCTGCTGCCCACCAGGTCACAAAGTCTGTCCAGCCATCTTTGGGCACCACTGCCCACTCTTGGCATGTCTAGGGTCCAGAACCCACCCCCAGACCCAACCTGAAGCCCAGGCCCTGGGCATTGGTGGATGGACAACGGGCATGGTCCACCCCACAACCAGGACCATGGCGCTGGACCCTGCTCTTCTCAAACCTTTTATTGACAGCAATTCTGGGCAAACGCGTGAGCCACGAGGGCAGGCGTGAGGCATGGGGCCAGCAACAGGGGCGCGGCCCCCGGGCACAAATAACACTGGCGGGCAGGCAGGGCCCGGGGCCGAGTGGGAAGCCCACCTTGAGACCCAGCCGGGCCAGGGCCAGTCACAGACGCGGGCCGGCGTGGGGGGAGGGGGGATGGACGGTCTAGACACAGCCATGCGGGACAGCACAGGCTGCACGTCAGGCCACGCCCTGCTGAGGGGGCGCCTAGGGCTGGGCTCTGCCCTCGGGGTCCTTGTCGTAGATGTAGCTGCCCACGGCTCCGGTGTTCACACCTGCAGAGAGAGAGCGGGTGTCGGTGGGCTGGCTGGCGCAGGGGTTCCCGCCTCCGGGACCCTCCTGGCCACACTCACCCTTGGGGCCGAAGAGAATTCCGTAGCAGGGCTTGTGGCAGTAGGGCTGGCCGTCGTGCTGCAGGCAGAGCGGGCAGGAGCGGGTGACGCCGGGCTCCACCGTACCTCGCCCCCCCCCCCGCCCCGCGGCTTTCCCGCAAGTCCCCTGAGCCAAGACCCCGCCCATTCAGGGACCCCGCGGTTCGCCCAACCTCCGTGCGGGGGAGCCTGCGCTCCGGCCACCAGGGGGCAGCCTCTCCCGGCCCAGCAGTCCGCGGCGCCCTACCCTGGCCCTGCGTTCCCGACCTGCGTCCCGCCTGCAGAACACGCCTCCAGCGGCGCCCCCACCTGCGCCCGGAGCCCCAGTCGGCGGTCGGCACCCCTGACCCGCTCCTGTGGCCCGCGCCCTCCCTTCATCGTTGCTCGGGAGTCTCTTCCCGCAGGGCGCCCCCAGCTTGCGCCCGCCCTCACCTCAGCGTGGCCCCCGGGAGTCAACGTCTTCCCGCAGCGCTCACAGCGCAGGCATGGCCGGTGCCAGTCTTTGCCCAGAGATGTCACCTTCTCGGCTGCAAAGGAGGCCACAGCTGACGGGAGCCCCTCGGCGGGCTTAGGGGGGGCGGGGGGGCAGGGGGGCGGGACACTCACCAAAGTAGACCCTCTTGTCGCAGCGGGGACACATGTTGGGCTCCCCAGTGAAGGTGGTGACGCTGGAGGCTGGGGTGGGGGAAGGGTCACGCGTCAGGTGGGCAGAGGCCCTCAGGCACCCCTCCGGCAGAGGGGAGCCCCACCCACCTTTGCTGGGCCCCTTGGGGGGGCCACTGGCCTTCCGCTCCTCGGCGCGGACCACCGGGGTCTCGATGGGGCCTGTGACTTGCGGGCCCTCGGCCGCGGGCTTCTCATAGATGTAGGAGCCGGCACCACCGATGTTCACACCTGCGGGGGCACACGGAGTGGGGGCTCCTCAGATAAGTGCTTCCAGGCTGTTCTACGGTGGCCCGTGCACTCAAGACACCAGTAAACTGGGCAGACCTCTGGGTGCTGGACTTCTGGGGGTGAGTGAGGAGCGATGGCAGAGACACCAAGCCTGAGGAGCCCCATAGTCCCGCCACTGGCCACAGCCTGAGTTGGGGTCTGCTGCCCGCCATCCACCCCTCGCACTGCGCGCAGCTCACTCACCCTTGGGCCCGAACAGCGTGGCGTAGCAAGGCTTGTGGCAGAAGGGCTTCCCGTCGTGCTGGGCAGGGGGAGTGGCGTCAGTAGTGGCCCAGACGCCCACGCCCGCGGGCCCAGGCCTGGACCCCCGCAGAGCCCTGGCCAGGCCCCTCCCCAGACCCCAACCCCGCCCCCGCCCCGCCCCGCCCCGCCCCCTGGGCCTGCTCACCTCCGCGTGGCCCCCGGGTGTCAGTGTCTTGCTGCAGCGCTCACACTTGAGGCAGAACTTGTGCCAGTCCTTGCCCAGGGAGCTGACCTTCTCAGCTGGGGTGGGCGGGGGGCAGGTCAGGGGGGCACTGGCACCAGCCTTGCCCGGCGGTCAAGCACCTCTCCTCTCCACGGCACCCACCCTTCCTCCAGGGCGCCCTTTGCGCGCACCCTGAGACCCCAACCAGGCTGAGTTGGCAGAGCCCTGTGGGGGGCTGGTGCGGCACCCAGGCCAGCTGCGGAGGTCGGTGAGCCTGGGGCTGCTGGGCGGAAGTGTGGGGGCCTCCCAGTGGACAGAAGCCCAGGCCTCCGCAGGGGAGCCCGCAGGAAGAGGGCGGAGCAGAACCGGAATTCCGCAGGGATGAGGCTGGCCTGAGTGGGCGGGGAGGGGCCACGGGGTGGCCCCACCACCCTGGACATCTGGCCAGGCCAGAGGGAGAGTGGCGGCCTCCTGTCCCCACAGAGGCCGCCCAGGCAGACGGAGAGCAAGGCCCGACCTGGTACAGCCCCTGCCCTTCCTGGGGACAGCATCAGTTCAGACCTGCAGGGTCACCGGCCCAGGGACACCAGGACGCAGGCTGCCGGCTCCGGTGTCCACGCCAGGGCAGGCGGACTTGGCGCGCCCAAGGCAGGCTCGGCCCCCACCAGCCCAGCCTACCCTCTTGGCCAGTGTGGCCGAGGCAGCTGCAGAGCAGGGCAGCCAGAGCTGTGGACAGCCGGGGGTGGTGTAGTGCTGCAGGGGCAGGGGAGTGACCTGTAGACGCACTGGGCGGGTCCAGGGCCACACAGAGCAGCCTAGAGGGGAACCTAGAAGCCGCGGGTCGGGTGGCTGGGGCGGAAGTAGTGGAGCTGATCTCGGGGACACTCGGCCCCCACCCCCGCCTGAGCCTCCTCCAGGACAGGAGCGTCCGGGTCTGAGCGGCCTTTGTCTACTGCTGGGAGCCGGCCGGCCAGCAGGCTGACGCCTTTCCGGCTTGCCCACAGGCCCGTCCGCCAGAGCCTCAGAGGGACAGAGCTGGCCTGGTGCCCACCAAGTCAGGGCAGTGGGGCTGGCAGGAAGACCCAGTAATGCCCCCACCCCAGCCTGGGAAGGGGACGGCTCTGGTTGGGGTGCCCAGCCAGGATGGGCTCCCTGGAGGGAGCCGGAAGCCTCCAGGGCTGGGGCCCACAGAAGCCTCAGGGCCAGATCCGGTCCCTCCACTCCAGGAACAGCAAACAGCCGTTTCTGCCTCAGCGGGGAGCGCGTGGCCACTCTCTCCTGGGCCCCAGTGCCACCCAGAGACTGGGGAGGGGCCCTCTGCCTGGCAAAGTCAGTGCCTCTGTGGTGGGAGAGGAGGGCGTGGGCAGGACTTTGCTGCCCTGGCACAGGCCGGGGGAGGATCAGCCAGGAGGAGGGAGAGCTGTAAGTAAGCCAGGCGGTGCTGCCACCCAGCAGCCAGTGGAGAGCTGGCGTGGGGCCTTCCCAGGGGGCACCCCACCGGGACAAGCCCCTCCCTGCTGCTTCCTGACCTTGAGGAGGCAGGGGGGGGGGCCTGGGCACCTGGCTACAACACCCTCCTGCCCTTAGGGACCTCGGACACCCCACCTCCCCGCACCCGTGGGAACCTCCTGGAAGAACTCGGGCCAGGGACCTGAGCGCGTTGGGACACGCGAGGCAGAGGCGAGGTCGCCCCCGCATGGACCAGGTCCAGACAGAGCCCAGGTCTGACCTGGCCCCGGCGAGCCCAGAAAGCTGGGTGGGGATGGGAGTGACGCTCGCGCCCCGCAGACCACGTGTCCGCGGGGAGACTGGACTGGGGTCCGGCGGGCATGGACCCAGAAAGACCGGAGAGCGAGCAGCCCCGCCCAGCCCCTCCTGGCCACGCCCGGCCTCCGCCAGGCGGATCGCGATGCGTCCTCGGAACCCGGAGTGCCCCCCATGTATGGCCTCATCCCGTGGAGACCGGCGCCCCGCCCGCCCCG